GATTCCATGTTGGATGGTCCCAAAGGCACCTCTTAAAAAGTGATGTTCAGGCAGCCGGAGCGATGAGCTCGATGACCCCGAAGAACTGAAAGCTTGGAGGGGGAAGAATCTGAAACAAGACGGAAAAGTGGGAAGTGGCTGGATCGTGCAAGTCTTCAGTCCAGTGATACTCAAGTTGGGATGTGCATATTCCTGGGGTACATGAAGACTTTCTGTGGGTGTGCAGGCATATGCACTTCTAAGAGAATCATCTTCATAAAGGCATGCTTATTTCTCAGTGATTCTTCGCTGGAGTGTCTTGTCCTAGGGTGCAAAGTCACTTGGGGGGCGTAACAAGGACTCATTCAAATCTTGACTTTGATATTGAAAGAGTGAATGACTCTTGTCATGAGATAAAAGCAACATCTATTCTCAAGGCAGTTGGTATCTAGTCCCTGGTTTTCAACAAAACTGTAGGGGGCCCTACCTAAGCTGTCAGCAGGTAGGACATTAGAAATAATTTTTGATGATGGATCACTTTGTCATGCTGGTATATAACTAGGAAGGACACCTTAGAATTTAATGTCATCACTCTAAGAAAACTTTGATTTCCTCAATTTATTTAGATGGATAAAGCAAGCACTTTCTGTGTACTTACCACTACGAAAATGAAAAATTGGGAAAAGAAGTGACTCTGAAAACTGCCACTAAGTTATATCAAATCGTAGATAAATGTATTGGATTAAGAAACCAGGGTCATTGAATTGAATTAGGAGGTTCATTTCCATTACACTTTATATATTCAATAACTTATAATACACTTACGTTGACCTGCTGTGTACTTGTAACAAATGTAACACTAACACTAGCCAGAATAACATATTTTTTGGAACTGTGTAAGTTATTTAATTATGTTCTTTGTAATATTTTTAAAACACCAACTTGCGAGGATAAAGTCCATTTGCGAGGGAAAATACAGAACAGAGGTAGCCCTGGAGTTGAGGGATTGCTTTGATTTTTGGCAGAATTTGCAGGTCCGCGGCTCTCTGATCCGCCTTGCACAGTCCTGGAGGCCTGCATTTCTCTTTGTTGAAGATCTCACCTTCCTGGGGGCTGGGCCCCTGCAGCTTCTTGAAGGAGGCCTCAGTGAGGTGCTGTGGGGTCTCCCACCCCTGGTGACAGTCTTGGTGGAGGTGGCGATGACAGATTTCTGGCGTGTTCCACCCAGAGGAACGCCGCTGAAGGTCTGAGTCAGGTCACTGGGGGGCAGCGGCGGCTCCCCTGCTTCAGGAAGCCTGGCTTGCTGTGTCTGTGCTGCCCGGCGAGGGTGGTCAGGATGGTTCTGGGAGGGATGCTGGCCCGCTGTTTTCTCACCCGCTGATGGAGGGTTTTTTGCTGTGGCTCAAGAGCTTCTGAGGCGCATCTTCAGGACAGCATCGGGCCATTTTGCAACGTTTAAACACTTGGCAGCACCCGTCTTGTTACCACCCAGAAGCAAGAACCTTCTTCTGTTTCTTATCCGTCCTGGGCTTGGCTGCTGAATAGTCCGCTTGGACCGGCCTTCCTGGGACAAGTAGCGGTTGGGAGTCTCTGCCAGTTCCTGTGACTTGGGGGGCTCTCGGCTGCAGTGGGCTTTCCCCTTAGGCGCTTTGGCCCTGAGGGTCCCCTTCTTAACCTCGCCCTCAGCACCGGCCTTCTCAGCTTCAGGTCTCTCTTCCTCAGCATCCAGCTCCTTGGCTTTTTTACCTGCCACCTTGCAAGAGGGGAAACAGCTGGAATAACATTTTTAAGACTCAGAACATTATGGTCACAGGAAAACTTAAAACATTTCTCTCTCTTTCTATAATCTATATACCTGTACGTGTAGCAGTGACATATGTATGTGCATATATATATATGTGTATGTAGCAGGTATGTATTATATCTATATATGTAGTAGAGTGAAGCATAATAAAATAATCAGCAAAGAACCTGAAGCAGAAAACTATGTAAGGAAAATTCTCTGTGGTTGGTATACAGGAACCATGAGTTTCAGGAGAAACTGACTTGATGTTCTCAGGGCACCGTCAACTCCCTGACTGAACCTGGGGTGGTGGGAAGAGGGTCTGGAGGTGAGGGGATCAGCCTCAGGAAGAGAGGGGCAGGGCGCGGCCAGGGCCGTAAGCATGGGGTCTGGGTGTGAGGCGCCCTGTTCCTGTCTTGGCTCTCGTCTTGCCTCTTGAGTTTGGAGCAGGTATAACCCCTTCTCCATCTCTCAGTTCTTGTCTCTTCCCTTCCCCCCAGTATCCTCCTCACCCTCTCCTGCCGCCTGCACCACAACACTGGCCAACTGAGTGTAGGATGGGGGGAGGCACCAGGGAGGTTGATACGGAGAAAAAACATTGCATGTGGTTAAGTTTGGGTGGAGGGTCTTTTTTAGGTGGGGCTGGACTGTGTGTGTGGGGGTGGCGGTAGTGAGGAAACCGGTTGCAAAGGAGAAGCCGTATCATGTCTGTTTTTCTTTCCACGTGAAGCTCTACGATGAGTTACTGGCTGGGGAAGCCTGGGCGACCGCAGCTCTGACTCCCAGACGGGGCAAGTGGGCCGTTGCCCTGCCTCTGCCTCCTTCTGGAGAGGGGAAGGTCTGCTCTCGAGGGCAGGGGGCTCGGGTATCCAGGCGGAGAACTGGGGCCTGAGAGGCCCCAGGGGGCAGTAACTAAGAGGCGCCCTTTGCAGCCACTGCAGGCTTTCACGATAACGGGTTTTCTAAATTTTACCAGCATTGGCTGGAGGGAAACCATCTCCATGATCCAAATTCTGTGACCCTGGGAAAAACACCTCGACTCTTGATGTCTAGTTTGTAAAGGTAAAAAAAAAAAAAAAAAAGAAAATTGATAAAGTGATCTGTACCTTTTCTCCCTGCTCTAAAATTAATGTGAACACATTATGAGAACTAAAGCTTGCCAAAAGCCCAGTAACTTTGTTTTTTCTCACCAGCCTCAAAGAGAAAAATAAAAATAAAGATAAATTACAAAAAAGAGAAAGGAAGAAAAGACATCTTTTTTCTTTGAGAAGCATCAAGATCTACTCTGCCCTCCAATAGTTGCCTGGGTAGAATTTTCCATCTTGGCGCACGGAGGCTCGACCTGGTTTCAACCAGTCCCCCCTCTGCATACCCCTGATTTAACAAGAGGAACTAGAAGACTCCGACAGTGTGTGGGAAGACTGAGGAAAATAAGGAAGGTATAGAAACCACTAGAGATGGAGATCGGTTAAACATTCTGGCAAATTGTCACGGTGTGTTGCTCATGTTGAATGGTTAGGCAGTTGGGAAGGTAGTTAGGAGAATGGCTCTCGATGCTTCATCTAATTGCGAGCAGCTGTCGATTAGTGGAGTTTGACCAACTGTTTTTAATTCCAGTCAGTGGTGATGAGGAGAAGGAGGCTCTTAAGGGAAGCTGGCAGGGGTTGTGGATGTGCGTGAAGTTGCTTACACTGCTTTCAGAGGTCCCAGGGTGCAGTACCTAAGAGGCGCCCTTTGCAGCCACTGCAGGCTTTCACGATAATGGGTTTTCTAAATTTTACCAGCATTGGCGGAAGGGAAACATCTCTGTGATCCAAATTCTGGTAAGACTCTTCCCGGGGAGTGATTCATCCCCCGGTGGTGAGTGACTGCCTGGCGGGTGCCAATACAGAAGCGATAGCTGTTCACAAGGGCAGTAAATCTAGAATGTGAGATTATAATGCCACTTACGAGTCATTCTCCTTACAAATGTTTCATTTCACTCTTTGAATTAGAAAAGAGGAAAAATAAGAAAGTGGAAAATTTGGCTTCCTGTGGTCGTAAAAGCTGCTACAAATGATCTAGATTTGATAGTTTTTCTGGAAGGTAAAGGTCTCCGGCCGCCCAGTCTAATCAGCTTGACTCTCTCGTTTTGTTGTTATTACCCGTTACTTCTATATGTTCTCTTTCCTAACGAGATCGGCAATCTTTCCTAATACGGATTTTATTTGCTTTCATTTCTTGCCATACATTGAAAAAACAGTCATTTTAATGGTTCTGCATCACAAACTGAAGAGACCATTAACTTGACTGAAAGCAAAGTTTCTATGAGATGAGAAAACTCCCGGAGTTCTAGCAGTGGTTGTCTGACTGGTTTGAAAATCTGCAAAAGGAGACAGCAGACTGCATCTCTCAGGGAGAAAGGCGCTGTGCCCCTTCAGTGACAGTTACTGTCCGTCTTACATCCTGAGGTTCAGTGCCCTGAAAGAGAAAGTGAACTTCCTAACTACATACGCAGGCAAAGATTTATCAACAAGGTTGTTCTTCGTAGCACTGTTTATAATAGCATGAAATTAGAACTGTCCTTAATGTGTGCACTTGGCGTTAGCAAAATTTATTCAGACATAAAATGTTGTGGAAGAATGTATCTGCGACATGGGGAGAAGGTCTTAATGTACTAAAATGATGTGTATGAAAACCAAAGTCAGAAAAGAATCAAATGGAAACAGTATCAGTGGGGATTACTTGTGACATGTATTTGTACTTTTTCTGCCTTTTCTAAATTTCCTCTAAAAACACATACGGTACTTTTACAATTAGGAATAAAACCCTTGTTTTCAAATGAATTTCCCCAAATGTCAATTCTTAAGTCATGAACGATTTTATTCCTTGTCAGGATGAAGCAAAGGAGGACGTGCATGTCTTGCAAGGGAGAAAAAAGGCATCGAGAGAGACAGCACGCAATAAACACCTAATTTTGTTTCTGATCTCGTGCCTGTTTGAAGCGCTCACACTTGTTTTGACTCAGCTGGAGAAGTCAGCTCCTCTGACCCAGTCACAGTTTCCACCAGCTGTTTTGGATGTTTGAGTTATGTTTTTGTTGCAGTGAACCCCGCTGCCTACCCCTTGAGCCAGCTCAGGAACAATTGTAGAGGAAGTCTTTGAGGCCCACACAGAGGAAGCCTGCTCATCTCATGACATCCACAAGGGTTTGAGAGGCAGCCCCTTCTGAGCTGTTTCTGTTTTTCTTCTCTGGCAGGTCTCTTGATGTCAGAGAGATGGGCCATCTCTTGGGTCCAGGGGTTTGGATGGAGAGTCCATGACCGCAGCTGTGCCCAGCCATTCTGACTGACCTCTTGGAAGGTGACGGCTGCATGTCAGGACGAAGATGTGCGTGCTGAACCCCGAGCTGGGTATGCTTCCCACGCAGTCATTCTTTTCAGGGCTTGGGAGCGTTCTGGCCGGGGGCCATTTATCATTGAAAGTCACCGTAAGAGGGTCACCGCTGTCTGTGCCCGAGGCCTCTGAGGCTTTGCTGTGACTGGGAAGCCAGGAGCTTCTCACTGCATGATGTGGCAGTTTCTGGAAACTCATTTGGGGAAGAGGAAGCTGACTTACGTGGGAGTCACCATCTCAGCTGTCATTCTCTGGCACCCCCTTCTCCATAATGGCTTTGTCAAAGAAAAAAAAAAAAACCCATGAAGCGTCTAGTGAGAGCTGGGACGTAGGCAGAAATACTCTGGAATGGAGGGAAGGCTGACCTGCCTTTGGGAGCTCACCTTTGTGGGTTATCACCTGTTTTAGCCCAGTAATACTTGTAGGGGACTTTGTTTCCCTTGTCGCCTCTCCTTTTCTTCTTTCATTCTATTTGCATGCAGACTAATTAGATTCAAACTGGTTATTTTTCCTTTAAAGGCTGTTTGCAAACACTCAGTTGAGCACCTGTGAGTCAGCTACCTTGCATGACAATTAGAAAAAAACCCTGTTATAAGGAGCATACTTCTTATAGTCCAAGAGCTACAGAGGTGAGAAAGAAGTCAAGCAAGCAGGGAGGAGGCTAAGTTATATGCTAAAGAAATGACAAGACAGGAACACTTTTACTCAGTGGCATCCCAGAGTTGTAGGCCTGGCAGTTTTGTTTTGAGAGAAACCACTAGAGTCGCTGGTTACTTAAATATCCTAGACTAGAGCAATGCTTAGGTTTGCTAAGAGAATTCCATCAGTCAAGACTCTTTTGGTTGCAAGTGACAGAAACTCTTAAGTTCAATTTTAACTTTAGGGCCTGAGGTATTCAGAGGATGCTCAGAAGCATGTCTCTCTCATCTCTTGGCTACATTTTCTTACATGTTGGGGTCATTCTCTGCCATACTCTCCCCTCTGGGGGCCGTGGCCACCAGAAGCCTCGGACTTACCTCCTCCCATCAGTTTGCCCCTCCCAGGTGAAGAAAAGAGGGTTCCTGCCCCCACAGTTTCCATGGTGGACCAGTGCTGACTCTCATTAGTCCAACTGGTGTCCCGCTGTCTCTGAACCATCACTGTGGGCTGGGTGCGGCCCAGGATGACTGAACCTATGTTTGGGCCCTTGTCCTGTGTCTGGGGGTGAAGCCCACCTTGCCTGAATCGTAAGGACTGAGAACTAGGGAGTGATTGAATAACTTTCAACTTCAGTACAGATGGGATTGGAGTTTTGATTTTCTGACTTGTTTCCCAGAGGTTCTTTATTCCCTGTGCAGGTTTCCCCACGACCTGCCCAGCGGTGGGTGCTTCCTCCCTAGGAGTTTAGGGAGGGTGCCCCTCCTCCCCCAGTGCTGAGGGAGCCCACTCCTTTCATGTTTGTATGACTAAGGGGTGACTCAAATGTTTAGTGCAGTGGTTCACAAGGTTGTGGTCCCCAGATGATCAGTATCACCTGGAAGCCTGTTAGAAATGCAAATTGTCTGGCCTCATCCCAGACCTACTGAATCAGAAACTCGGGGGGTCAGCCCCAGACATCTGTGCTTTGACAAGTCCTCCTGGTGACTCTGATATAAGCTCAAATTTTGAAACCACTGATTTAAGGACCAGCCCAACATGTCTCCTCTAGGAAGACTGAGTCCTTCCAGAGGGTTCTGCTTTATATTCTGCCTTCCCAGGCTCCTGACACCAACAGAAATTTATTTCTTGATGTGCTTGCTTGAAGTGAAGAGATGATTTTGTGCTTGGAGTAGTAAGAGATCTGCAGTGAGCTGCAGCTGAGAATCCCTCGGCAGGCTCCCGCTGGCCCTGTGTCAGGGGGGAATGTTCTTGGAGAGGCTGCAGTTGCTAGGTTCATCCGAGACAAAACAACTTTGGACATCTTTCTAATTTTTCTGAGGGGACATTATTGGATGAAGACCTAGCAGAGTTGCCCTGCCGATCAGAGTCTGTATATCATATATTCATGTAATTATTTAATCATTTAACATATAATCCTGGGCTGCATGCTAGACACATGACGGCCTCCAAAACAGACATGATTTCCTGACCTCCTGGAACTCAAGGTCTAGTGGAAGATAAAGACATAAAAATCAGCATCAACAGTGCAGTGTGATTTCATGGGAAAAAGTACAGGGTGTTTGGGAGTTCATTACAGGCCACCTAACCCAGACTGGCCTGGGAAAGGGGGGCTTGTTAGGGGAAGTTTTGTTTAAACTGGGACCTGAAGGATGAGTAGTCATTATCCAGCAAAGAAAAGGAGAAGAGAATGCCAGGTAGATATACAAAAGTCTGTAGTTGAGGGAGAACTTGTTGGGTGGGTTTTAGAAACTGGAAAAAAAATAGCATGGCTGGGCTGTAGAGCTCTCAGGGAGACAAAGGAGAGGGGTAAGACAGTGAGATGGGCCAAATTATGCAATCATATCAATACAAACTGAAGAGTTTTAGGCCAAAGAAGTGAGATGGTTGGCTTTGTTTCAGAACTCATGCTTGAGAATGGGTTGGGGGTGAAGAATAGTCAAGGCCACAGATGGGAAGACAAGTCAGAAGGCTGTGTGATAATGAAACAAAATACAGTGGTCCCCTGACCTAAGATACGGGAAATGGGCTTGGAAGAGTAGACTGATTTGGGACACTGGTGCGTGGCCGAAGTATGGAACCAGGAAAAGATCATTCAAATGAGGACTCGTAGGTAGCTACCCTGGGTAACAAATCAATGGAGGTGCCATTTACTGATAATAAGAAATAGTAGAGGGGGCATGAGTCCCTGGGAGGGAGTCACGATTTCAGTTTTAGGTAAGTGGAGTTTGTAAAATGCCCAAGAGGAGATACCCAGCATGCAGTTGCTGTCCAGGTCTGAACTTAGACAGGCGGTCTGGGTGAGGATAAGTATTGGACAGTCATCAGCACATGAGTGACACGAAAGCTAAGGGAGTTGGAGAGATTTCCTAAAGAGAGTCAGTGGGAAGAAGGCGGGCTTAGAACCCGAGGAGCTCCAGTGATAAGAAGCGGGCAGAGGAGGAGAAACGTGTGAACGTGACCAACGGACGGGCAGGCGAGGGCAGTCAGCACATGGAATCTGATAGGCGTCACGGAGGCCAAGCAAGGTGGGTCTCAGCGCTGTCTAGAGGCGAATGATCATGATGCCTCAGCTGCATACCTGGCTGAGATCAGGCCGGGTCGTCTCTGGAAGTCATGCCGTGTTACCCTTTGTCTGCCAGAAAGCTCTGTCACTATTCCAAACGGGGTCATTGACAGAGACGCTTTTCAGGAAACATTGCTTTCCTGTAATTATTTTCTTAGACAGAAAAAAATGGCACTTGCTGAGTCATAATTTATTTAAGGAGACTCCATCCTATACTTTCTTTCAACTTGTCTCTTTCTCAGTGAAATCAGTTAGATTCCTTACATATTTTCCTCTCCTTATCTCATTCCACTTTCAGGTCACTGTATTTCACGGTGCCTCTGAAGCCCAGCCTGCTTTCAGACAGTCGGCCACAGGCAGATGTGCACTTTGCAATTGTAAGTCACCCAAATGTTGTGGTGGCAGCCACGCTCCGGGTATCCAACTGCAGCATGCTCTGTGGCCGCCTTGAATCTTTAGCCACTACCGACTTCCCCGACTGAATTGCTGTCTGTCTTCTCTTTTTCTTTCTCTCTCTACAGCTGGGCACTCTGGGGAGATGTTTTGGCTAGAATTAGGTATGCACAGCTGATACCTCCAGCTGCACATTCTTGGACTCTTTCTGGCTCTACAAAAGTTCTCGGTGTTCTTGTGGTTTATTCAAGCGGACAGTGATAGGGAACAAGTGGCCCATCCAGATATTCTTTAAAAGCATTAAAAATGCGTCTTCGTTTCTGTGGCCACTCATTGATCAGTTGAGACGAGCGGGAGGAGTAGTTCAAAATATACTAAGAGCCAAAACAAATGCAGGTACTCTTGGAAATTAGCATTTTTTTTCTTAGTTACTAAGTTATCAGTAAGGTGGCTGTGGTGTGGTCGACCTAATCACGCCATGCACTGCATGGAAAAGACGGAGTATATTTTTGGAATAGTTCATCCTGGTCTATAATGAAGACCTAAGATCTAACATGGTCTAACCTGGTAACAATAGGGGAATCAGTCATGGCTTTACGTATAACCTCCAGACCAGGAATTTCCAGATCTACTTCTCTAGGTCTGTCTTTGCCTCTAAGCCTTCATCTGAGGTCTTCGATTATCCACTGGCTATTTTTACCTAAATGTCTTGGTAGCACTCGGAGTCCATAGATTCCGACTGAACTTCTCTCCCTCTTTTCCAAGATTACTTCCCCTCCCATTTTTTTCTGAATCCAGCAGCTCTGCTGACCTTTTACAGCCTCTCAGTTTTCTTTGACTCTTTTATTTTCACCTGTATTCTTGATGCCTGGGTAGCTGCCCGTCTTCCTGGTCAGGTCGGCAGATCACGTCTGTCCCTCATTTCCTCTCGGTGCGGTTGGCCCAGCCCGGATCCACATGTTTTCATCGTTGGGGGATGACGGTCACTTCCTAAGGACTAAGTGGCCCTTCCTCCTCCTGCTTGTTCTCCCTTGACTCCGTCACATAAAGAGATGTCAAATTAATCTTCTAAAACACTGTGTTTCATCGCGATGCTGCCCTAGTCTAAAGCATTCCATAGCTTCCTGTTCCGTATGAGCCCAACGCCGTCTCCAAAAGACTTTGAGATCCTTGCACAATTTCTGCGGCTGCCCTCTGGGCTAAATGTACTCCAGCCACTCATTGCTTCATTATTCCCAACTTGTCAAAATAATTTTGATTCTTTCTGCCATCAAATATATCTGTTATCCAGCTCGGTGTTGGGTCAGTATATGTGGTATATACAAGTGTATGTCCTTTGCATGTGATCGGATGTTGATAAAAACTATTATGAGCACAAGGATAGGCCCTAGAGGTTTCTGCAGGACTGAATTTTTTTGAACTGCGGGGCTAAGGTTGCCTTTGATCTTGAGAATGATCCTTTGCCTTCTGCTGTATCCTCACCTGAACATTTCCTGCCTCTTTGGGCTGTTCCTTTATTCATTCATCCAACGCCCATTGAACACCCCTTTTCCCCAAAACAATTTTTTTTCTGAGTAGGTAAAGCTGTTTGGAACCACTCCTTTCATGAAACAGTGAGGCCCGCTTTTATTTGTTTATTTATAATTGAGGGATTTGTCAGAGGTAAAAGCTGTTGATGGGTGTTGACCCTGTGGAGAAAAATTAGACACTTGCTTTGATGTCTAAGAAACAACTCTCATTTTTCTTTTTTTTAAAATTGAAGTATCATTGATATACAATGAAATAATTCCCATTTTTCTATACTGTCTGGTTCCTGTTGCTACATAGCAAGCTCCTCTCCAAACACAGTGGTGTAAGGCTGTCACTGCTTCAGACATGCTTTGGGGGCAGGAATTTGGAACGGTCACAGTGGGGGTGGCTCGTCTGAGCCTCTGCTTGAGAAGATTCGAAGTCTGGGGCTGACTTAACAGCTGAGGACTGGATTCATCTGGGTATGTGCGCATGCACGCACTTGGCATCGCAGCGAGGAGAGCTTGACGTCTAGGATGGCTGACCGGAGCCCCTTCCTGTGGCCTCCCTGCATGGCCTGGCTTCTGCACAGTGTGGCAGCCTCCGGAGAGTAAGACCTTCCCCTGCTGGCCCAGGGCTCCCGTGGTGAGTGTCCCTGTGAGCCAGATGACACCGTGTCACCCTGACCAGGCCTCCCAAGTCACACAGACGCAGTTCCAACACATTGCACTGGGTGTTAAGTCTCATAAACTGCATGGATTCAAAGGTGGGGGCTGTAGACCCTACCTGTCGCTTAAAGAATATTAGTGAACATGCAGGTATGCTTTCAAAGTGCCACACATGTGAATCGAGAAACTGCTGTAGCTACAGCCTTTGGGGACATGACCCGGGGGCTTGGTGTGTTGGGACCTTTGTCAGCTTTTCCAGCGTGGGTAACTCAGAGTAAAAACAGCCTGATGAAGAAATGTAATGATCACTTGCTTATACTTATCAAAAGTCAGCCAGGGTTTAATGTTTTTTAAGTTTGAGCCTTTTTTTAATAAAGAGAAATGAGGTAAGAACATATTTTTTCCTTTTTCTGTTCTGTAATGGGCTAGAGTTGATATTTCTTTTTAAGACTTAAAAAAGGTACTTCTGAGAGTTTCAACATTTGGCAGCTGCCAATAAGTGGGTAATGTCATTATATAAACAGTTTGGGTTAAAAGGCAGGTGGCATTTTTGGAGAAGTCGGTGTCACTGTGAGCCTGCAGCCATGCTGACCACCTCCACCCCATCTGCAGGGACATTTCTGTCTGTCATAAGTAAAGCCCCCTCCTTCTGCCTGCTTTGACTACCTCTCTGAGTTCCCCTTTTTTTTTTGACCTTGAGTTTCAGCTTCTTGAGTCGTCAAGAGGACAGGGCCACTGGATTCTACCAGCCAGAACCTCAGAGGCTGTGGCCACAGGGGGAGACAGCTTTCCACTCTGATAATGTCTGTGTTGACATTCACTAAACACATACTCACCGAGAGCCTCTTCTGTTCCAAGCACTGGGCTAGGGAATACAATTACAGAAAATAAGCAAGACCAGACCTAGTTCCTGCCTTCATGGAGTTTACGTGTAAGGAAGACTGAAGCTGTGACCTGTTCAGCCAGCAGGAGAGGCGCGAGGTGCTTTAAAGCACTGGGTGGCCGGGGAGGCTTCCCCGAGAGAGAACAGTTGAGCTAAGCGCTGGGATATGAGTAGGTGCTAGTCAGGAAGGGAGGGAGAGTGATCCAAGCAGAGGGGACAGCCTGTGGAAGGAGGGGCAGGAGGTCCTGGAGGGACGCAGGGTGAGAGAGGGCCAGAGCGAGGGAGGAGACGGTGGGGAGGAATGGGTGCAGGGTGGGCGACTGTGTGGAGCCTGGGCACCGGCAGTCATGGGTCCGTTCTCTAGAGACATGGGATAGTAGGGCACACACACACACACCTACCCGCACACACGTACATAACCAACAGGATATATAATGTAAACCCCATTACATACATAATGCATCCTACATATAAATAATCATATGTGTGTGTGTGTGTATATATAAAATCCTATAATATAATCCTCTATATGGTAAGAGGGCTGGCAAGTCTGAAGTCTTCAGGGCAGCTGGCAGGCAGGCTAGAAACTCAGGCAGGAACTGGTGCTGCAATATTGAGGGAGAATTTCTTTTCTGAGAAAGAATTTCTTCTCTTCTAGGAAACTTTGGTTTTTGCTCTTGAGGCCTTCCAGCGATTGGATGAGAGCCGCCGCATTATCAAGGTAATCTCTTCAAGTTGACTGACTGTGGTTGTTAAGCACGTCTAAAAATTGTCTTCACAGCAACACCTAGATTAGTGAGTAACTGCTGGGTACTATAGCCCAGCCAAGCTGACACATGAAACTGGACCTCATACGTGGTAAGGAGTTTTGTGTTGATCCTAACAGTAATGGAAAAACCTTTGAGAGATTTTAGGAAGAGGTGGCATGACTGAATTTGTATTTCCTGAGTGTGCTCCAAGCTGTCAGAGGAAGGTTGGTGTTTATGAGTCCCACCAGGGTTCTGTGAGGGCCCCGGACTCTCCGAGGAGGTGTCTGTGTCACACAGCACCTTAGCATTGAGTTGGTCGGACGCTCGTCCCAGGTGTGCCCTTACCGTCTTGAAACCACCTCTCGGGAAGGACTTAGGTGCTGTGTTTATTTTCTGCTGGCTTTTCTCTCTCCAATGAGACTGGACGCTCTTTGGCGGGAGGAAGCGTCTTTAGTGCCTGGGCACATGAGTGTACCCGGTAAGTATTTGTGGGCGAGTGAGCCTGGCTGGGTGCAGTGTTCCCCCCAAAGTGCCATCAGTCCTATCAGTAGTTCTGGGGAGCAGAAAGGTGACATCAGCGGCAGAACACCGCCAGGCTCTTATTTCTAGCTTCCTTTCCTTTCCTGATACACAGCTGTTCTTTTACTGTGCATAGATGTCTGTTCTGAAACATAATTTCTTAAATAAATTTTTAAATTTTGGAATGATTTAAGATTTACAGAAAAGTTGCAAAGACAGCACAGAGACTTCCCACACATCCCTCACCCAGTTCTCCTAATGTCACCATCTTATATTACCAGGGTACATTTGTCAAAAAGATGAAACCGACATGGGTTTATACTAGCTGAACTCCAGACGTTATTTGCCTTTTGCCAGTTTTTTCCATTAATGCCCTTTTTCTGTTCCAGGATCCTACCTAGGGCACCACAATGCATTTATTCATCATATCTCCTCTGGTCTGTGACAGTTTCTCTGTCTTTCCTTGTTTTCCGTGACCTTAACGGTCTTGAGGAGTGCTGGCTGGATATCCTTAGAATGCTACTCCCCAGCCCCCAAGTCTGGGTTTGTCTACTGTTTTCTAATGGTTAGACTGGAGTTGTGGGTATTTAGATAGAACACCACTGAGGTGGGGTGTCCTTCCTTCACATGACAGGACAGGGTACACGGCATCACCTGACGGTGCTGACCTTCATTGCTTAACTAAGGTGGCATTTACAAGGCAAGTTTCTCCACTGTGAAGTCACTGTTTTGCCAATTCCCTGGTGCATTCTTTGATAGCGAGTCACTAAGTTTAGTCCATCCCCAAGCACGGGGGTTGGAAGGCATAAGCTCTACCCCATGGGATGAAGAGTATCTGTACATGTTATTTGGAATGCTTCTGTAAGGAATATTTATCTCTTTTTACCCATCTCTTTACTTATTAAATCATTTACTTATATCAGTATGGATTGTACTTTATATTTTGGGTTATAACCCTATTAGTTGTTACTTATTTTGTTGCTTAAATTGTCCCAGCTTTGGCCATTGGGAGCTCTTTCAGGTTGGTTCTGTGCCCCTTTGACATGTCCCATCCTTTTATCTTTTTAAGCACTTCTGTGTTTTTTGGTGCTACAGGATGCTCCAGGTATATCTTGTATCTTCCATGGCCCAGTCCTAGAAAAAGCCATTTCTCCCTGGTTCCTTTTTTTTTGGAGAATGGTATTTAGAAACCAGGATCTTGGTGCTCGGTGTGTTCATTGCTCCTGGGGTCTCATTCCTTCCAGGCCCTGTGTGTCAGCAGACAGAGCTGGGAATATATGTGTTGTATATTAGCCATATAAATACATATCTATAATTATTTCTCTATCTGTCCATGTGCATATGCATATATGTACATTCAATTCACCATGAGTGTATCTCGATGTCTGACTATGAACCAGCCCCACAGGGTTCATTCTAGCCTGGCTTTTGTGCTTATCTGTAACTCCTTCTCCAAGGCTAGGAAACCTGGCTTCCACCTGTCCATTCCATTATTTGTTCAGCTGTGATGCTAAATGTGAAACAGCTTCAGAATTGTTAACCTGGGTACAGGTTAACAATTGGAGTACAGTGGCAATTGGAGTACAGTGTTTACGTATGGCTCTCTCCTCTTTTATGTAACTGTTTTTATGAGGAAGTCATATAATGAGTTGAGAATTGTCTCTAAAGCCATTTTGCTTTGGTCCAAATCCTGGCTCCATGGCGTATTGCCTTGGAGCTTGGAGAGTTACTATTCTCCGAGTTTCTTCATCCATAGAATGGAGACATACTTCATGGGGTTGTTTGAGGATTAAATGAGTTAAGGTATGTAAAGTGCTTAGAATATTGTGTGGCATATAGTAGGGACTACTTAAGTGTTAGACTTTATTTCTTCTCTAACAATAATTGTTATTTTAATTGCTACTAGCATAATGCTGGGAATATTGGGGCACAATATACTTTTGAGTGATAGTGTGATCTCTACTCCTGAACTATCTTCTTATAGCACTCAGTAAAGGGAGTTATACATAATTCCCTTTCTCTCTCTTTTTCTATTCAGTCATTCACGTTCTCTTTCTATCTGGAGTTAATTTATCATTCATTTCTCTACCAGCTTTTTGTGATTTAGAAACTCTAAGATGTAAGTCCAACATTTTTGGTGTATTAACCCCCTTGACTTTGGCCTTCATGAGATCATGGATCATAACCTTATTAGGCTTTCGTATCCCTGGTTTCTAGTGCATTGCTAGAACCATGAATGAAGGACTGAATCATAGTGATTTAGGAGTGGAGTGGTCTAAGCCATGTGATAGTTTCTGGTTTCTTATTCTGTAATTAAGTATAGTTGCTCTGTGGTTATCACTGCCTGGAAAATCATAGATTTTTGTAAACCTTGAAATAGAGGTTGGGGGGCTTCATTCAAAACATTTATGGTAATTTTTGGCCTATTGTTGTTATTAATATTGTACAGCAAAACAGCCATGGTTTCTGACCAGGGATAGTCAGCACTTCTGGGCAGGGTCCTGTGTTACTGGCATTTGAATTAGGCTTCAATGAACCCAGCTGCAGTTGCGTTAGCAGCTCTTAAACTATTTTGTACATTTGGGGTTTGATAAAATACAATATGTATTTCCCCCACCATTTTCCCTTTGTGCTAAAAAAACAACCAAAAAACAAAAACAGAAAACCCACATAAACCAAAACCACATGCACACAAAGGTGCATTAACTTGGTAGAGGGCTACTAATTATCTGCATGGCTAGTCATTTTAGAATCTTTAAAATATAAAATCGAACCAATAGTCGATGCCTAATCCTTCAAGTCATTGTAGCTGTTGTATAAAATGTCCTGTTCCTTAAAACTAGAGTAAGCAACACCTTTTTTTTTTTTTTGGCGAAAATATCTGAAAACAGGAATTCTCTGCAAATTCCTGAGGTTCCAATATTTTCTTTCTCTTTGATTATCTGAAGGCGCTGTAGACTTTAGGGTTAGTGCACAGAATTCAGCCAAATATAAAGAGAGAAAGTCAAATCCAGGGGCTCGAAGTGGATGGAAGTCCTCCTGCTTCCTGGGTAAACTACAAAGGGCGTGCGGTGGCTGCGGCGAAGTGAGGTCGGCAGCCATGCCGCTGAGGTCAGAGCGGCTGACCACACCACTAGCAGCGACCAGTGAGTTACTGCGCTTTGGAGTTGCTGAGCTCTCCCCCCTCGCCCACTCTCAGAGACAGGGCCTCAGTTTCTCCAGCAATAATGTTTTTCAGGAATTAACTTCTATCCCACTCAGGTCTGGCTTACTCTCGCTTCTCAGGTTGAATGATTTCTTCTGTAAGATACACTACCTCTTAGTCTCCAGTGCTTTTCACGAAGAAAGTGTCCCAAATACTTTCCTGGGCTTTTTTTATTTCTTTTTCTTCCAAGTCTGGTCCCTCCCTCTTCTTGTTATAGCCGTGGAGGCTGTGAAGGGTAGAAGTACTTCAGGTGGTTGTAATTTGAGTAGAACAAAGAAGAGACCAAGAATTCAACACCCAAGTCTCCTCCTGCCTGGGAAACAGCTGGAGCTGAGTGCCGGGTGGCGGGACACTTGGGTCTGAGAGCTGTGCCGCGAACGCACAGCTGTGCCACCACAGTGGTTAACCCCCCGGGGGGAACTGGGGTGTGGTGGGCAGCATTAGTTACCAGGGGAAATGATTTGGCCATTGCTGGGGGAATTTGTTGTAAAACAGAGCTGTGTGTACAATGCGTTTTATTGAGTTGCTCAACACACTTCACAGAACATGAAGCCTTCCTGCTGTATGGCAGGTGCTCCGTGGGTCACAGGAAAATAACTCAGGTTTGCCTGAGGCCTCGCACTCGCCCTGAGGGTAGCGGAATAGAGAGAAAGCAAGGCTCTCACAATGACCTGGAGCCTGAACATTTCCAGACCTGGCTTCACGACTGGATCAGCCTCTTTGTGGCCTGTTATGAACAGGCCAACTTGCCCTCTTAACTCAAGAGGCTGCCAGTCCCAGTAGCCCATTGAGAAAGTTCTCTGGAACCTCTTCTCCTCGTCATCTGACCCAGGTTCCCAACTTTCTCCTGGCTTCCGCGTCTGCTTCAGTCCCCTTAGGGGCACCTCTCTCCCTCTGCACGTCACCGTGGCCACCAGGTCATGAACTCTGCTGTCAGAGGGAAGGAAAGGTGATCTCGGCCCATGTCCCCCTTAATCATAGCATTTTATGGAAAGAATTCTCCCTTCCAAGGCTCATAACTAAATCATACAGAAGTTGATTTGAATATTATCTTGAGCGACTAGTTATATTACAGTACAAATCAGAAGGGATCAGTTCATAGCACAGGGTGTTGGGATTATAGTGTGTCAGCTCAAGGGAAGGAAGGACAGGCTAGTCTGGCTCCTTGCCCAGATGGTGATTAGTCAACCCCATCCTGGCCAGACCCAGACAGCTGGGCAGTAGGGGCCGTGACAGGGTAGGGGAAAC